GGAGCCTGGGAGTTCTGTGCTATGAATTCCTTGTAGGGACACCACCTTTTGAGGGAAACCACCTTTTGAAGCAGAATCATACCAGGAAACCTACAGAGCTATTTCCAGGGTATGTCCCAGCATTTACGTGGACTAACTGAACCATGCTGCCTTTCAGGTCTGTTGTCTTATTGAAGCTTAACAAATGGTCATCTTGAGGAAGGGCATGTATTATAACTAGAAGTGTAGCAAGACATAATGATACGCATAAAACTACATCCCTGAAGCTGTCTTCAGTCATTCAGTAGAATGACTGTCAGACCTTAAGATACCTTGCCTTACTTTCTTGGTTCTACCCTGTTTCTGTTTGCATCTGAACTTCTACCTCTTTCATAAATCAACTAATCTTCTCCTCTTCTAATTTATAAAATGAATATTTAACATTCAAGGTGTTATTAAATACATAAGCTTCACTTTTCTGGTTGCATACCCTAGAAAGGGTCTGGCAAACTAATCTTGTCTGAAGAGAACTGAAAAATACACTAGCTTCTACAAGCTGCGAGAACCTTGTTTTCTTCAGGATTATGATGAAATTACTTAATCTCATCTGAACAGGCCTAAGGTGCATAGCCCACAATAGTGACACAGCTTTTCTTTCTAGATGTACCTTGGAGGGTAGAGCCCTCTGACTCTAGTTTGGTTATTGCCAAAGAACTCTTGCATCATCTTTAGTGTCCTTTCTCTTCCTTAGGTGGAATTCAAGTTTCCTCCACTTGTAACGGAAGGTGCGAGGGATTTAATTTCAAAGCTTCTGAAGCATAACCCATTCAATCGACTGCCCCTGAAGGATGTACTACTTCATCCCTGGATTACAGCAAACTCTACAAAGATGCCCAACAGCAGAAAGAGTGATGTTGCTGCTTCATCCAGAACATAGTCTTAGCAGAGGTAACCTCATGGGATCAACAAGAGGAGTCTTGTACTGTGACTACTATAATGCTTACAATAGGAAAAGCAGGTCTTGGAATCCAATGGCAATTGGAATGCAAATCTTTTGGGTTGGCTGTCTTAAACTCTAACTGCAATGTAAAATTATTTGACTTTTAGCTGGAGGTTGTGGAATACTTAATATACTTGAAACCCAGTTACATGTGGGCCAGGTTTGTTGATGTAAGTATTAAGCTGTTCAAGGCTCTTATGATGTGGCCTGTCCTGGTAATGGTTCATTGTTCCAACAACAAGAGGAAGTTGTGGTTCTACCTTATTGAACAGTGCAATATCCCAGAGATACCTGCTTCCTAACTTATTGGGCTGCTAAGGGTATCATAACTGTGGTGTAATCTGAACCCAAGTGAGGTGAATGCATTTCTCTAAATGTCCTAAAAATGATGTTTGTGTTATTTTGTCTTTATTTTGTCTTAAATGTGAGCACTCCTTAAATAAAGGCTTGTTGTATACTGCCACCAGCATGGTAAGGTTCCTTATGGCATTTATCACTTCCACTGGCTGTCTCTACCATCAGTACAGCTCAACTCCTCATCTATGGTCACAAAATAAGTTTTATTTCCCACCTCTGTCAAAAATGAAGCTGGCATGAAGTTCCTGCTCAAAGTGCTGGTACCACAAAGTAGATGTGGTCATTTACTATTCTACAATTGCAACACAGGATTACAAGGTAAGTACCAAATGTGTTGTTACTTCCCTTGTGGGTTTTCTACAACCCCTGCAACCTAGGCCTGATTATTCCTTTTTTTAATGCAGTTATTCAAAGACAACAGTGTCTGAAAGCACTTTAAGAGACAGGCCTGGAAAGTATTGTTATCAAATGGACTATGTAATGGGAACTGATGTTAACATCTGGTGTTGTGTTATTCCCTAAAATGTAGCAAGGGTCAGGCTACTCACCAAGAAAATGTACAAACCAACTGTTTTCCATTAAAACACTTCAAGCGAATTAAGAGAAAGCAATTTATTGTATTTTCATTATAAGACTTTAAGGTCATCTTCATTATTTTACAAACCATTTTAAAAAACAGATCCTTTAACAAGGATTCTAGAATTCAAAATATCTTCTCAAATTAATTTAAAATATACTTTGCAAAAAACTTCATCTAAACAAACTGCCAGTAGTTCATACAACCATATTTATCTTAATATGTAATCTGAATTCTGGTCATAATGTCAATGAAGCTCTGTTTCTTTACTGCAAGAAAATCTCTAGTTAGTGCTAATAACTTTTAGGTGTATTTGCTTTAAATGATTCCTGCTTTACAGAAAGTTTTTTTTTAAATGTGAATATTCCTTTTCTATCAACTTTAGGACAAATATACTTATCAGAAATGACTGATTAAATGTTTAAACAATGATGCCTTGTAACTATTCTGGAATTCTTTTGTTATCCTTGGTAACAGAGCATTACCCTAAACTGCTACAAAGAACAAGGGCATGTAGGAAAAAAAAAGCAAGCCTTCTGTGAACAGGAAAAAAAAATAAGCCCAAGTCAAACTTACTCTTAATAAATACTGATTGCCCACTTGAAGTGTAGAAGACTTTAGCTGTTCTAGAATGTGGTAGGTCATGGAAGATGATAGTAGTTAGTTACATGCTGTCATACCACAGTAGCCCTTTAACTGCTGTGCAAGTAGTGCAGCTTTTACCCATCAAACCACCAGCAATAAGCTTCCATCCCCATAACAAGTATAGTCACACAGGTTCGTCAAGGGTAAAGGCAGAGCTTCCTTAAAACTTAGGCTCTGATAATTAGAGCTGGCTCAGAGCAGCATGCTGAAGCTAGTACCCTGGACAAGCTGCCAGCTTCAGCAGTCCTACTGCAAAGTAGGCATGAAACAGGAAAAATCCAGTCTGTTATTTTTAATAAGCAGCTAGTCACAATGCACTTGACCGCCCTTCCTCCTGCACACACAGGTACATTAAGTGGCAGAGCCTTGGCTCCACATTTAACAAGCAAGCCAAGTGCATGACTTAAGCTCTGTTAGTGACACAGCTTACAGCTCCCACAGACACAGGCCACACTGCAAGGCTGATTCTCAGTATGTCCTGCTCCTACAGCTGGTGTTTTGAGCAGTTTAACTATGTCTGTATTATGCATCAAGCCTCTAGCATGTGTACCTGCTCACTGCTGCAACTGTTTCCATTGTAAGACACTAAACCCTTATTTGAGCTAAAAGCACAGCCCGAGTAAGACCAAGCCCTTGTCAAGGGGTTCTTTGTTTTCAGGTGGCAGTCTCCAGTATCAGCTTGCTTCCACAGGGTAAAGGAAGTAAACTACATCTCTTCCAGTTTTCCCTGTCTTAGAGAAAACCTCTGATTAAGCAAGGGGGTAGCAATAATACACAGGTATGAGGATGTATGTGGCTGTGACTCATCTTCCTAAAGCACAAACTCTGCTGGCTCACTTGTGAGCCTGAGGATCCTCAGAGCATCCAGCCAACCTATGGGTTGGACTTCACAAATGGGAAAGGAGTTAGGGTGCAATTTAACTCCACTCAGCTATAACATTAATAGGTTGCTCTTAACAGAAAGAAATTCCTTGCTCCTCCATCAGCCAGCTGTCACCCTAACCACATGATTCTATCCTCTCAATTCACTACACTTAAGCAAAAAAAAAAAAAAAAGTACTGTGGTCACCAGGGTAATTTCCTGCTATTTTACTTTAATCAGATTCCTGTACGAACAGATCTGTGTCAGAGCCACCTTGATGTAAGTGTAAGCACAAAGAGAGAGAGACAATGTAAAAAGAGCAGACCTGGAAGCAGGAACAGGTGCAAAACAGTGATAGATCTGGCACAAGCTATCTCACAGAAGCACAGTCCTAAGCCTGAAACCTAGGTTTACCTTGGAATGTTATGCTGACTACCTAGTTTTAGGATCTAGTCTGGAGATTAACTGAAAGGTGGTATGTGAATATATGCATGTGCAACTACATTCTACTAGGAATAGAGTCCAAATAAGGAACTGAAAAGCACCTCTAATTGGTACATTCAACAGTCTGTCAGACAAAAGCACAGGAATTGCCCTTGAGAAGCTATGAATTGCAATGTCTGGACTTCAGGTGAAGATCTGAGTTCCACCCACAGCAGCAGAAAGCTGCTAGGGTTAGTTTCAGATAAAAATGTGTCTCCAGTACAAAGCCAGTACATTAAAACCCCACAGATACCTTGCCGCTGATGTGATGATCTTTGGAATATGTTCACATAGGAGGTAATTCTGGTTACACTGATTTCAGTAGACTCAGGATTCCTTCTGAGTCTATAGGCATACAAAATAATAACAACATAGACTTTAGTAAGGACAGTTCCTAGCCTATAAATAAAGCATATTTTCAAACAATAAAATCTTGAAACATGGAACCACCACAAAGGAGCTGCAGTTTCAGAACAGTGCATCACATATCCTGGCTAAAACAATTATGACTGTGCAATAATTAAGCATATGGGTACTCCCACTTAAGTTAGTTCAGCACGTGTGGTATATTGCAAGACTGGGGTCATAATATATGCCCTTTATAACAAAAAGCCCACATCCAACTATCACCTCAGATTCCAATATATACACTTACCAAAAGAGCTATTCATATAGTAGGGTATTGTTTATTCCACAGACTATTAGGAAGAAACTCTCACTCTGTTTCCCAGTAATAAACTAATGCTGCCACTCTCTTGACAAGAAAAAGAAATTACGGCCCAAAAATCTAGACTATAAAGACCCAGAACTGTGTGTTCTAAAGAGACTTCTCATTGTCAAGCATTTATACTACCACTTGCAGTGGAAACCAGACACCATTTTAACAGGTTTTTTCTAAAGAAGAGGTGGCAAAAGGGAAAGAAGATAAGGACAGCACTTTTCACAGTGTAACATTTACCTGAAAGAACAAGTAAGAAATGCAAGAGGTGGTCAGCATTAACATGAACCCAAATAAGTCTTTTAAAGAAATTTAGCAATCTGAAAACTACATGGATATAGAGCATTTAAAAACCAGAGTAAAAACCAGTACGAAATCATCATGGATTTGGGGCAGGAGGCTTGAAGAAACCAATCTTCCGGCAGTATCGGACAATAAATGGCACAGAAACTATAGTAATGCTGATTCGTACTGGAGCAAACAATTTGTGAATAGCATATGCCAACACAAATGTGCTTGTACCAGCGGCCATTTTACATTGTAACGATGATTCACTGAAACCAAGTTTGAAGAGGACTGCAGTCATATCCACACCACTGGGGAAAAAGAAAACAAAATGTTTTTAGTTTAATTTAAGGTTGCATGCTAAAGAATATAATAGGGAATTTAACATGGCATACTTCCAACTCTGGAATTTATGTTTAAATTAAGACATTGTTAAGTAATAAAAACAATTAATTATTTCAGCAGTAACAGCTCGAATTAATTCTGTAGCAACAACACACGCAATATTTTCAGATGCACATTTTTTTTCTTAAATTGACAGGCTCCCTGTGAAGTCAAATACGCTCTTAGTTTTACAACTGTATAGCTGCAGCATGTGCATGGAAAATACTCAGCCCTAATCTATTTCTCTACTTCTGAATTTTAAAAAAGTTATAAATTTGTGAATTTGTGTTGAAAAGTAGTCTTTCCAAAATTGTCAATAAAGTCTATTCAGTGTCTTGATGAAATTTATCACATAAAGATCAGCCCAAACCAAATACGGTACCTGTTGTTAGGCTTAGTGTTCTAACAGAGGAGTACAAAGCTGTTAAAATCACAAGTATCTTATCTAAAATCTAGCAAGTGAAAGAAGTATTATGGATCTCAAATAAGCGTTACCCACCAAATCCATTAATATTTTAATTATCTATAGACATAGCAGCTTTCATCAAGGTTCCTATATTTGGAGCAATTTTCCAGAAGAGGTTGTTATTGAAACTTTCCCCCCTTCACTTGCCATTATAGTATCTTGTAACTGGGAGTTAAATCACACCTGAAGAAAAAAAATGTTGTCACCCTGTGCCACGATGTAGTAAATGAGAGAAATCAGGCATTCACATATACCCACTGAAGTCAAGAGTAAGTGGCAAGGAATGTTTTGAGAAACAACGTGTTTCCCTGTTTGCTCAGTGGAAACACCTCATGCTCAACAGACATATCTGTAACTGACGCATTCCCCCCAGAAGCCACATGCACAATTTCCCACCTGACTCCCATATGGTTATCTAGTATTTTCTTTTTTAATCTAATCCTGTTACAGTGGCTGTTGCCTTCCACAGTTTCAACTGCAGAAACCGAGTTCAACAACCAGACAAACAAATTTATCTCTAAGCTCCAGCACTTTTGTATGGCTCTATCTGTACAGACCATACTACTGTTTGAGAACAGAAGACATCTCTGCAGAACAAAAATAAATTCTCTCATATGGCTAGTTACTCTGGTGACATCTCTATTCTGTTGTTTTCACCTGCCCACCACGGTCTATGAATCTATGCAAAAACACCATATACATCCATCTTCTTTCACGCCTGATGGAAGATTAGATCCATTTATGGATCCATGTATACTCGAAATTCAGAAGATTACTGTGTATAGATCAAACTGGCATTGAGTACATGACTCCTTCCAGAAATAAGCACAAAGGTAAGATATTTTTCTTAGCTAAACCATTACCTAGAGGCTTCAGACAACTGTACAAACCTCACCTTGACACAGCCAGGTAGAAGATTCCCAGAGATACCAATGAAATTCCAACATGGAATGAAACCCCTACAGCACCATATTCTTTAAAAACTTGTTTCAGTTGCTGGGATTTGTTGAGTTTCTTGGTTTCACCACTGGAATCCATGGCTGCCTTTTCGGGGGATACACCTGCATCCTAAAAAGAAAACAATTAAAAGTATTTATTAGCATTAAGCACAATATCATATTCTAGTCAGTTCAACCAATCTGAAATAACAAAAGCAGCGACTTGCACACAGGGCTGTCCAGAATGCTCTGGGAAAGCTAGTAACACACTTCTGTTCTTTCATATCAGGACAGCAAATGCCTGTGGCAGAGCCCATGCAAGCTCCCTTTTCTGAACTATTCATATCAAAGGAATGCACCGAGCTTGATGCAAGCTCTTACACAATGCAAGTTTCATAATTAAAAAGAGTTATTAAAGTCCCAAGTCTTCCATTTGATCCAAACGTGTGCCAAGGCACACCCACACAGTTGCTTGAGAGCGGAGACTGAGGTGCCAGGGAGATCTTTGCTTACACCCACTGCTCAGCTTTGTACAGTGAATTCTTGTAACATAGCTTTTTGTTCAAGGACTAAGCAGCTGATGGCACTGTAAACCTACATGATACCAGACTGATGCTGGCTTACTGACAGCTTACCAACAGAAGAGGTCCAACATTTAAGTTCCTATAAATCACGCTCTGTAGACCAGCTGAAAAAATGAAGAACTGGAACTGCTACTGTTGACAGCAACAAGCAATACTGTTGCCACCGTGTAGACCACAGCTACACAGACATGCTAGTGCCCGTGTAAATAGCCTAACTTCACTGAAAATATCTGTCATAGTAAAACTTCTTGATAGCTTTTTATCTGGGTAAATATAAACCGCAGAACTTCATACTGCAGTATACCCCAAAGCAATCTGATAGTGCAATCCTAGCAAAGGGCATACATGCTACTAGTAATAAGACAGCCCTTGGATACCTCCATAGAAGAAATGGCAGATAAAAATGTTTCCACAAAGACTTCAGGATTCTTCTCTAATTAGTGAGCGGTTGTCAGGAGAGGTTAGAAGAGTCTTTTCTTTTCAGCTGAATTCAGCAGTAGTCTTGACAATATGACAGCCAGACTAAAGGCCACTGCTGCCCACAGGACAGGTACAGCTAGCAAGTGCCTGGCACCACTTTGTCCTACTGTAGATTGGTTTCAAGGCACGCAAATTAGGAGAAAAATATTTTTGATTAGTCCTTGGACTTGGTGAGACTGTAAATTAGGATACAAGACAGGCTCCTCTTACAACACTCATGGTAGGATGAGCTCGCTTTAATCAGTGATTTTAACCATCCCAACCAGACCACCCCCTCAAAACCCAAAAAAACCTGTTTGCTGCCGTTTTTCTCTTTTTCAATTGTAATTTGTGTTACTTTGTATTTCATTCTGACAGGAAATCACGCTGATCCATAAATCTGTATTTGGGGAATTGTGTAGCTCAACTTATTCTGATTCTCATATTTTTAAAATTTTCAAACATAATGGATGTTAGATTTTGAATAGAAAAAGAAACTTGACTAAGAAAGAAAAATGTCCAATAGAAAAAGAAATCTTTTATTGCTCAAAGCAAGCAGTTTTAATACTAGAGGGTAAACGAGGAAAAATGTTCAAATATCTACTTTTTGAAGCAAGCTCATTAAGCAAAAAAAATGGATTCATAGTTAGATAATCTAATCACCTTCAGCCACTGGAGGCAATTAGATTGCATACATGTCTGCACTACATGGCTGCTACCTCACCATGTCTCAGAATTCATTCTCTTATTCTTCAGTTTTACTATAGGAACAGGGGCGTGAGGGGAGAGGAGGGACGAATGCTGTTTGAATTCCCAGTCTATAAAATTTAAATACTGAGTTATTGAATGTAACTAGTTGAATAAACCGAACAAAATGGTCTGATAATACCTTCTGCCAAAAGCTGTCCTAACAATTCAATCAACATCACATGCTTAGTCAAGAATACTCATTTATTCAACAGTGTGATTTTCTTACAAGCCAAGCATGGTTTGAATGGTATTTTAAGATTTAATAGCTTACAGTGAATTTTTCATCCTAACAAAGACGATCATTGTCTATTTAAGGAGCCAAACATGAATATTTTCTTCAGACAGCTGCCATAAAAACAGGAGCTGACAATATACAGATATACATAAGCCTCAGAGGAACTCTAGGTCTTACAGCCATGCTTGCAAAATGGATCATAAGGACTGAAAAATAGCTTGTTCTCATCATCCAAGTACATTTCAACTCACTTATGCTCTCAGGCTCACATGCCAGGTAATTTCTGAACGGTATCAAAACAACATGTTAAAGAAGTACCATTTGAACAGATACTACCTAAACTACTCCGTATGGTCATGTCCTGAATAACATACAGCTTAGGAAAGAAAGCCACCTCTTGTCCATATAATTTTGCCACAATACTTCTGCTAGAAAGCTAATTTTACTCCCATTGTTTAGACAAAGATTGAGCTTCTGGGTGAAGTAAGGCATGAAAACAAACCTGAAACATCATGTTAGGCTTTGTAATGAGGCTACAGAAATTAACCTGGAAATTAAGCTGTTGAAATTCAACTGTAAATGAGGCTTTGTATGGAAATCTCACAACCTCAGCACAAGCAGGTGTAAGCAGGTCCCTGTCTCCTGCAGAAGCCCAACATAAACATGAGGTAATAATCTGCCGCAAGTTACAGTTATGCGTACAGCCTTCATTTGCTTTTCTGAGCCTATCGAAATTTAGAAAAAAAAACCCCAATGAATGGTACAAATTAATACAAATTTTTCCTTTTCATCTCCAACAAATGAACCGAATGTTGACAGCACGGTGAAACACATAACGAACCGGGTGTGTGTCTGCGTTTTCCCCCTCAGCTCCGGCAAAGGCGCGGAGGCAGGCCCAGGACCTCTCCCTGCAGGCCCACCCGCTGCCATTTTCGGGGGCTGAAACCCGCAGCACTCGTAGCAAACCCTTTCAGCCTCCGCCAGAAGGAACACCCGGGCTTCTCTGTGTCTGCGTGAATTGCTGAAAACAGCTTTTTTTTTTTGTTATTCTTCATGACTCACCTGAAGTGCTCAAACTCTGCGGCCCTCAGGGAATAACACCCCCCTCACCACCGAGGCGGTGCAGGCCAGCTCAACCCTCACTCTTGAAAACACCGCTAAAAGCACCTCCAGGTAAAGAAAACACCTCCAGGCCGGGCCAACTCCTGCTTTAACCAAAGTTACGATCCGCCCCCCGCTCCCCGAGACATCTCCCTGCAGAGCCGGGCCCTG